TACTAGGACCATGTAAGAAACCCAGGTGATCCCACTGGAGAGGCCACGTGGAGGGAAAGCCTCGGCTGTCTCAGCAGCCAGTGCATCTGCCAGTTGAATGTGGCCACACAGTAAGTCCAGGCCAGACCAGCAGAAGAACTGCCTGGCTGATCCCAACCCACAGAATCACTGAAAATAATGGAATATTGTCTGAGGTCCAGTTTCCCAAACATAATTAAGTCTAGGTATGGTATCTCTAACCATTATTATTAATTGAGATAGAACAGATTAAAAACAAGTAATTGATAAGTGATGGCTAGAATGCCCTTGCTGTATAAGGAGATTCTGTTACTTACTTATCCCCCAACTCAATCCCTGATATCTCCCTCCTCTTATAATTTAACCAAAATAGAGCCCAACTCAGGACCACCCACACCTGGCCATTGCCCACCAGTCCTAGGGCCACTCAGTCATCTCTCAGATGGTCTCTGTGCCTCCAGGTCCTTTCTCACCCCATCTACCCTAAAGATCAAGGATCAGCAAACTACAGCCCATGGGCCAAATCTGACCCACCACCTGTTTTTGTAAGGCTTGACCTGAAACCTAAGAATACATTTTTAATGTCAAAAAAAAATTAGAAGTAAAATAATATTTCATGACATGTGAAAATTATATCAAATTCAAGCTTCAGGGTCCCTAGGTGAATTTTTATAAGAACATGTTTATTTCTGGATTGTCCGTGGCTGCTGCAAGCTACAGCAGCAGAGCTGAGTGGTTGCGATAAAAACCACATGGCTCACAAAGCCTCAACAACTTACTCTCTGTCCCTTCACAGAAAAAGCCAGCTGGTCCCTTCTGTTAGTCCCTCCTGCCATCGAGCTAACTTTTAAGCAACTTTTTAATTGTATTCACTCCAAAACCTTTAAAGATTTCTACCTCCTCCCTCAAAGAGATAAAAACTTTGTTGGTCTGACTTCCCGGTCCTAAGACAGACCCCAGGAGTTTGTGACCTGAATTTGTTTCCTACAACAGTCTCCCAGGTACTCTCCACTCTGGGCCAACCTGTCTGTAAGCTGCCCCTTACAGGCAGGACAGTGCCTCTATCATTTGTTGTTCTGGCCTAGAAAGCTGCCCTGGCCCGCTGCAATTTAAACCCTCCCCATCCTTCACTCCACTCAGAGTTGCAGCTCTTTAACCAAGAATGCTTCCCTAACCACTCTGCCCCATATTTCCCTGGGTGAATTCTATGGAACATCAAGTCCAAAGGACATCTTTGGAAAAAGATGTCTGCAGATGTTCACCTTCCTTGGAGTCACAATGTACAAATATGGCATATTAAAGGCTCTGAGAAGTCCTGCAGTCAAGATGGCTAGTTATCTCTTTTGCTGAACTCAGCCTTTCCCCATTGAGTAAACTATGGGATTTATTTTGTCTACAGAATACTTGTTGACCACCAGCATCTAGTACAGTGCCTAGAATTCAGCACTTGTTGAAAAAATGAGTATCGCTGACATCCCACAGAACTAGGGTTCCACAAAACATACTTTGGAAATGCTGCTCGAGCTCCTTCTGCTGTCTCTCTAGTCTGAGCTGTGCCCTCCCATGTCATCTACTGCACACCACGTGATGATCATCATTACCGTCAAAGGAGCAAGCACGGTGCTGCAGGCAGTGTTAGAGCCTTGAAAATGTCATCTTTTTTCATCCTCACAACCACCTCTGAAGTAGGTAGTGTTATTCTTCCACTGCTATTTTGCCAAAAATGAAACCATGGGTCAGAAAACTTAAATCACTAGGCCAAGATAAAGTAAGCAGAAAAGCAAGAACACAAGACTACATAGGTCTAACTCCAAAGCTCATGACATTCCTTCTCTGCCAGAGTGCCTCCTGAGAATGTACTGTGGCCAGTGTGGCTGGCTGTCCACCCAGTATCCCATCTAGCTCTCTTCTATGCTAGTGGAACCCTGGTTTTATACAGAGTAGCAACAGGTCAAACCAGGCAATGGATTGCAACCACCTAAACCAGTCATGACAGTGGTCCCATTGCCTTGCAGCTTGGATGAGTGATTTGACCTAGTTCTGGCCAAGAAGACATACAAAAACAACATTTGTGGGGTAGGGAGGAGAGGTGTCTTATGGAAGCCAAACAAAGATATGAAGGCTTTATTCCCTCCCACTCACTTGGTCCCTCTCTTCCCTGCCTTGAACCTGGGTGTAATGGTGAAAGCTTCAGCAGCCATCTTGAAACTGTAAGATAGAAGCCATGAGAATTCACAAAGACATCAGTCCTGATATTATTAAGTCACTGAGCCAACTCAAGCAGCCGTATACCTCCAGACTTCCTGCTACTTGAGAAAAAGAAACCATTATTTGCTTAACCACGCCGGTTGGATTTTCCGTTTCACGCAGCTGAACACATTCCTAATAGATGCAGATGCAGTCTCCCATATCACTTACTGTTGAACTTAATCATTATCTCACACCTACGTTATTACTCTTATCTCTCTCATCATAAAGTACGCTTCTTGGAGGCTAAGTCCATGTCGTACATTTTTGTTTCCACAGGAGTATAGGCGAGAATTTCAGGAATGGTCTGTTCAATTTACTGCTTTCTTTAGTGCTTGTGAGCAGAGAGAGGTCATCGTCCAAGAGCTGAAATATGGCCTCTGTCTCCTGTTTAGTCTTTCCATGGTGTCAATAGGAAAGCATGCATCAGAAATACCTGACTGTTTATTAAACACAGCTTACTGGGCCCCCTCCAATCCCAACTGAATCAGAATCTCTGGGGTTAAAGGCTGAGAATGGGCATTTGCAATAAGCTCCCCCAGGTGGTTTTGATACATAACATTTGACAACTTCTGGGATTCAAAAACAACAACAACTGTGGATCCAAAACCTATGTGAGGTTTGGCAGGACTTGGCTGGACCCTAAGGCACCAGCCCTCCTCAGGGGCCCCACCCTAGCCCTGGAGATCTAGGAAGCCTAAATTGGCATAATTGCTCAAGACCCTTCTTGGGCAATATAGACAAGGCAGTTGGCATGCTATCTGCAGCATACTGGGATTAGGAAATTAACAAACAGATGCACTCCCAGTAACTGCCACCTCCCACCATACCAATGCCTATCTCTTCCAGTTTAAAAAGAAAACCTCTATGCAGAAAAGAAGCAATGGAATCAGTGGCCCACTGCAACAATCACCATGATCCACAGACCCACAGAAGCACATTAAAAAGAAGAAAAGAAAACTAGAGAAAGTTACTTACTAACACACAAGCTAGCATTTGGGACTCCTGACTCAGAGGATCAGAAGAGACCTCCGGTGGCCCTTTTGGGTTATTTCTTTATTTACAGCATGCAATTCTGAACAGAATCTTCTCTAAGGCACTGCTCAGACAGAGATGGAAGGCTGGAGGGCATCCCACACTTTTTCTTCCATCGGCAGAGTCCCAGCCTGCATGGCTCTCCAAAGCTCTGAGAAAGAAAATACCTGTGCCTCCCAACAGAATTCCCACGCTTCTGCTACCCCTTGACACTTATGTTATTTCATTTCTGACAGTTATTTTCCCAGGTGACAGGTGCACACAGAGACACATTCTAGGGGAGCAAATAGCATATTCAACATACACAGACACACACACAAACACTAACTCCACTTTCAAACCGATGGCCTTCCTGCCTGCTGACATCTGGCCAAATTTAAAATCACAGAGGAGAAAGACTTGAAAGTCAATCAGAGAGAGGTGCTCATCCATGCTGGGACAGGAGCACAAGGGCTAAAAGATTCAGTCCGGGACTGAAGAGTGCAGGCCTTGGAAACACACGGGCTGAACGAAGGGCCCTCCCAGCTCTGCACACGCCAGCTCCACCACGGGGAGAACCACTTTCCCCTGCTCCCAGCCCCATGGCCACCACCCTCAGCGAATGCCAGCTAATGGGAGTTCCCACGTTTCATCAAGCCTCAAGTCATGTGTACCACCTGCAGTTTGAGGGAGGGAGGTGAGTTGAACCCTTCAGGTGTTTGGAACAAGGTGGATGCCAGGCATTTTCTAAACCTCTTGAAAACTCCTTCCTTTGACCAGATGGCCTTGGGAAGGAATAATTTCTGCCATCTTCTTTCTGAGTAACTTTGCATCCATCCTACCCACCCCCCCCCCCAACCCAGGACAAAATTGCTTCAAACTCCCCCTCAAGTTCTGTTAGAGAGAATGTTATAACATGCCAAAGATAACTCCTCCTCCCGACCCCCCCTTTTTTTTCACCGTCCCACCAAGATTCCAGAGTATTTTCTCACACCACCTGTGTGTGCCGATCCAGGCTTTTTCTTAAAAAAAAAAAAAGAAAGAAAGAAAGAAAAAGCATGCTTCAGGCCTGCAACAGCTCCCTGCATCAAAATGATTCGACTGGAAACGGGGAGCTCAACGGGGAATTCTTTTTCAGGCATCTTGCCTCCTGACATGTATACCCCTGAAAACAAACAAACCAAATCCAAGGAGCCAAAGGTGGGGGCCGGTGGGCAGGCTGGGAAGGAGACCGAGAAAGACGAGGTCTACATTTATAGGCAGCCCCATTCCGCGAGCAAAAACCACCTTTTGACCACCTGCAGAATGCGCAAGGTCACGTGGGTTCTCTGCAGCGCCTTAATGTCTTTACCCTGCACACAAGCCCCCCGCGGCATATCAACAAATCCACAAGCGGAAAAAAGAGAGAACTCACTCCTCAGAGAGGAAGCGAACGATAACCACAGCCGCCAGAACAATAATAAAGAATAACAATTACTACTACTGCTCCCACCACCCAGCCAAGAGGCAGCCGACAGCGGTACAGCGAAGGGACATCCAAGCGCAGGGTTTGCAATATAAATCACAGAAAATCGAAGACCGAACCGTGCCCACCTTGCAATCCTCCCACCCCCTCCACCCCACCCCCAACAAACAGAATCAAGGGAAGAGGGGATGGTGGGGGAGAAAGTGGAGGGGAAGAAGGATTGCTTTTTTTTTTTTTTTTCATAGGCAACACCTACCTCCAAGGTCCGGATTTCTTTTTGTGTGAGGTCGTTGGAGGTAGCACATTTGGTCCTAAGCCCTTCCAGGTTGGAGATGCTCAGGTCTATCATGTTTTGGACCAACTCGCACTGCTGTAAGGCTTTTTGCAAACTCAGAGGCTGCTGCTCCTCGCTTTTCGTCATGTTTTCCTCATCCATCGCTTGCTCTGCAAGCCCCCTTCCCCTCCTCCTCCTCCCAGAGAGAAAAAAGGGGGGTGTGTGGGGGGGGGGGGAGTAGAGGTAGTCCGCCCCCTACGCCTCTCCAACCACTGCGACTTCTCAACAGTGTCTCATGAAGAAGAAACCCAACATCTCACACAGGGTTGAGGGGGTGGGGGTGGGAGGAGGGGAGAAGAGCCAAAATTTATTATTTTATTTTGGGATGTCAAGCAGACTCTATTAGAACGTCTCCCCTCTCTGAGTCTCTGGTCCCTGAGAAGGAGAGATGCTGTTTCTCAGAAGCAAGCCAGGTGATGTGATGCTGTCTGTACACTTAGGGAGGGGGGGGGGGGAGAGGAGGAGGGGGGAGGGAGAGGAGGAGGAGGAGAAGGAAAATAGCGCTCACTCTTTACACACCGGCTCCGTGAAGGACAAAATTATATATTTTTGGCTGGCTGGCTTTTATGTCAAAAAAAATCTGGTTTGCCCCCCTCCCAGTTGCAGTGACACGGCATTGTCCACCGTTTGGGGTGCTTTAGCGCGTTCTCAAGATGCTGTCTGCATTGCTCCCGCGGCTGCGGCGGCGACTGCGGCTGGCTGCTGTCTCGTCCTCTCGCTGCTGTTGCTGCCGCCGCCGGGCTCCGGGGGTGACGGCTGCTGCATTCGCTCCTGCCTCGCTCCACACCGACATCTTGCCTGTCAATCACGGGGAGGGGGGAGCGAGGGAGCGCCGGCGAGGGATGGAGAGCGAGCGAGGGACCTGCAGGGGAGCGGGTTGGTGGAGAGGCGCCGTGCGCGCATCCGCCCCCGCCGGGCCCGGGCTCCGGCGCGCCAGGGACCCGCTGGAGAAGGCGGAGGTGGAACGCGCAGGCTCGCGCACCTGGCCGGGGAAAGGGACGCGGCTCCCGGCGCGGGTAGGGGGAGCGGGGGGCGGGATTTCTAGGGGATGCGGAGCTCGCGTGGCAAAGTGAAATTACTACCGGGCGTGCGTGCGAGCGAGCGATCGGCGGGCGGGGGCGCGGGGGAAGAGCGCGCGGCGGCTGAGGCTGCTCCTGGGGGCGGTGGAGATGGCAGGGAGTGTGCCAGAGCGCGGAGACTGGGCGAGGGGGCGGGAGAGGGATTTGGTGGCCGGGCGGAGGTGGGGGACACTACTACGGCACCGCTCTCGCGAGAGGAGGCCGGCGCGCGGCTCAGCAGGTGCGCTCTGGCTGGGAGCAGGTGTGTGTCCAACTTTAAACCCCGTAGTGCGTGCTGGAAAAACGTCAGCGTGAACCTGGGCACGTCCTCTCTGGCTTTCTGGCTAGAAGGGTGGGGGGTGGGGGGTGGGGGGGGGATGTTTTTGCTTGTCCTCCCTTGATGGTGTTTGGGGGGGGGGGGGAGCAAACCTGATGCTCTCCCTTGGGCTGTAGGAAGCTGCCTCCCAGAATTGACACCCAGGCCTTCAATCGCCCTAATGGGTGACTTTCCATTTGGAGAGTGAAAGGGGCTTTGCCTTAATCTGATTGCTAACCCTGTCCTACATGTCCTGCATGATCTGATCCCCGACTACCTAACTGACCTTCTGTCAGCAAACTATGGTCCCAGAATTACAAATGGATTTTACACTACAAACAATAAATGCTGGAGAGGGTCTGAAGAGAAGGGAATCCTCCTACACTGTGGGGATGTAAGTTGATGCAGCCACTATGGAGAACAGTAGGGGAGGGTCTTTAAAAACTTAAAATAGAGCTACCATATGATCCAGCAAACCATAATTTGAAAAGATATATGCACCCCAATGTTCAGTGCAGCACTATTTACAATAGCCAGTACATGGGAGCAGCTTAAATGTCCCCTGACAGAGGAATGGATAAAGAAGATGTGGTGTGGTACATATACACAAAGGAATATTCAGTTCAGTTCAGTTGTTCAGTTGTGCCAGACTCTTTGCAATCCCATGGACTGCAGCACACCAGGCTCCCTGTCCATCACCAACTCCCAAAGCTTGCTCAAACTCATGTCCATCGAGTCAGTGATGCCATCCAGCCATCTCATCCTCTGTTGTCCCCTTCTCCTGCCTTCAGTCTTTCCCAGCATCAGGGTCTTTTCCAATGAGTCAGTTCTTCACATCAGGTGGCCCAAGTATTGGAGCTTCAGCTTCAGCATCAGTCCTTCCAATGAATATTCAGGACTGATTTCCTTTAGGATAGACTGGTTGGATCTCCTTGCAGTCCAAGGGGCTCTCAAGAGTCTTCTCCAACACCACAGTTCAAAAGTATCAATTCCTGGTGCTCAGCTTTCTTTATAGTCCAACTCTCTCATCCATACACGACTACTGGAAAAACCATAGCTTTGACTAGATGGACATTTTGTTGGTAATGTCTCTGCTTTTTAATATGCTATCTAGGTTGATCATAGCTTTTCTTCCAAGGAGCAAGCATCCTTTAATTTCATGGCTGCAGTCACCATCTGCAGTGATTTTGGAGCCCAAGAAAATAAAGTCTGTCACTGTTTCCATTGCTTCCCCATCTATTTGCCACAAAGTGATGGAACTGGATGCCGTGATCTTCACTTTTTGAATGTTGAATTTTAAGCCAGCTTTTTCACTCTCCTCTTTCACTTTCATCAAGAGGCTCTTTAGTTCCTCTTTGCTTTCTGCCATAAGGGTGGTGTCAACTGCATAGCTGAGGTTATTGATATTTCTCCCTGCAATCTTGATTCCAGCTTGTGCTTTGTCCAGCCCAGCATTTTGCATGATGTAGTCTGCATATAAGTTAAATAAGCAGGGTAACAATATACAGCTTTGACCTACTCCTTGCCCAATTTGGAACCAGTCCATTACTCTATGTCCAGTTCTAACTGTTGCTTATTACTCAGCCATAAAAACGTATGAAATAAGGCCATCTGCAGCAACATGAAGAGAACTAGAGATTGTCATACTGAGTGAAGTAAGTCAGAGAAAGACAAATATCATAACATCGTTTATATGTGGAATCTAAAAAATGGTACAAATGAACTCATTTATGAAACAGAAATAGAGTTACAGATATAGAAAACCATCTTATAGTTACCAGGAACTTAAGAAGGGGGAGGATAAGCTGGGAGTTGAGATTGACATGTACACCCTACCATATACAAAATAGATAGCTAATAAAGACCTATACTGTATAGTCAGGGAACTCCACTCAATGCTCTGTAATGACCTCCTTGAGGAAAGAATCTTTAAAAAAGTGGATACATGTATATGTATAACTGATTCACTTTGCTGTGCAGCGGAAACAAACACAACATTGTAAGTCAATGACACTCCAATAAAAAAAAATTCTTTAAAGAATAGATTTTATATTTTTAAATGGTTCAGAAAAAAATCAAAAGACTATTTTGGCAAGTGAAAATTAACAAGAAATTCTAATTTAAGTGTTCATAAATAAAGTTTTATTGAAATACTGCCACCCATTTACTTGTGTGTCTTTACCTTTGCATTATAACAGCAGAATTTAGTTGCAGCAGATACTGTATGTCTTGGAACACCTAAAATATTTACTATCTAGCCCTTTACAGAAAAGTGTGCTATCCCCAGGTTAAACTGCCAAACATACTCTTGTCTTAGAGATCTTTGTACTCTATGTCTCCTCTCCCCAGGTCACATTTCCCCCAATATTTTCCTGATTGGCTCCTGTCACTTTGTGTCAACTCAAATGTCATCTCAGAAAGATTCCATTTCCCTGACCATTTTAACTAATAATACTCCCAAGATGCATTGCCCAAAGGATATATTTAGGATAATTGGCCAAAGGCACCTCTTTCTCCAGGTAAACAGAGCTCCATTCCAGGGATTGGGCTTATAGAGCAGAGTAGATTCAGAACTCATGGTAATATGTATTCCTTAAAGGAAGTTGCTTAAGATGTAGAATGACTGGAGATATCAAACTTTTTCTTGTACTGTGGGCCCATGGGGTTTAATGGCTCAAATAGAGCTGAATCAACATTTTCAAAATTACCTCCCATCCATGAGGGGCTCAAGTGTGTTCTCCACCCTCTCAATCTTTTGGATTATGAAATTTACAAATTCCAGTTCTCTGAGAAAATTCTCTCTTCGTTCATTTTCCCCATCTTTTGTTTTTCTTGAAAATATTAGTTATGGTTATTTTAAAGCCCCTGTCTAACTCCAATGCCTCAATCATCTGGGGGGGAGGGGGGTCTATTTCTATTGACTATTTTTCTCTTTGTTTTCAGTGATTTTGTCCTGTCTCTTGGCAGGCCTTGTAATGTTTGTTGAATGCAATGCAGTATCTGTGTATGAAAAAAATATCTAGAGTCTCTGGTTGATGTTGTCTTACTCTGGAGCGGGCTTATCCTTTCTCTGCAAAACAGATGGCATGAGGACTAACCATCCTAATCCAATCAGAGGCTGAGCTGGATGGAGGCTGCATAGCAGTTTTGATAAGACACCACTTAACTCTGGCTCTCACTTATAAATCCTTGCCTTTCAGTATTTCCAACTGAGAAGTTTAGGTGTTCACCAAGGCCCCTCCCCCTGGTCCTGGGGTCTAATCCTTGTCTCCACAACATGGCAAGACTGTTGAAAACTCTGCTCTGTTTTTCAGGAACATTTTGCTTGGCTCTTTAGCCTCTTGGCCTGCACTGTTTCAGAATTTGCCAAATGTCTTGAGTGGGAAATTGCCATCTATCAAGCTCACTTTTCTGTCCCCCACTCCCTCTTTACACAGTATTAGCCTTTCAAGTTCCCAGTTTTGTCTCTCCAACCTTAGAAGGCTGCCAAAATTTTTGTGGCTTCTCTGTCCTCTAGAAACAGCTCCCTGCCTGGAAACTAACTGATGAGAATCGTATTTCACCCCATAAACTGCATTTGAGCTCTAAATGATGAAAATCTCAGAGTAGCTTCATCAATAGTGGAAATAAATTATTGTTACTGGGCTACTGAATGAGCTGAACTTGGCAAACCCTCATAAGATCCCATAGCTTTTAGTTTCAACCAGTAAGAATGATCTCAATTTTGC